CAAGTTTGATTCCAACTGGTCTAATATTTGTCAATGTTTACTTGTGTGTGTGTTGTTGGAATTGAACTCATGGGCTTGCAAGTGCAAGGCAAGTGCTCGACCACTGAGCTGTATACATCCCCAGCCCTCGTCTGCTTTTGAAAATATAGTAATAACAGGCAAACCGAGCAAACTGGTGTCATCTGAGCTCCTATAGGAAGAGATCATGCACTCTGATTACCTTATAACATGACATTCCCCACCACAATTTAAACCAGTTTCATCTCTAGAGCAGGGAACTCCCACAACACATGAAGTCCAGACATGATTAGCTATAAAGAGCGAAATTATTTAATCATTCTCAGGAAAAGAAGAGGTTGCTTCTCAGCATATGCAGTGAGTGCAGGGGTCCTACAGGAGCAGCTTCTCTGATAAGCAGATAACCCAGAGAGACAGGGCTAAAAGCCACGCTAAATTAAGAGAGACAACACACACTCATTTCCTTTGTTTACTGGGGTTTTGAAAACTTGGGGAAAAGGATATGAAATTCTTGTGGTAACTCTACCAAGGCACTACATCAGTCAATTATGATGTTGTATAATCTTCTCCTCAAACCTGGCTGATCAGAACTACCTATGAGACTAATAGTAYCTTATTGGCTTAGTTTTTTCATGTCACAATCTTTAACTCAGGAGTGTCTTATACTCAGAAAAGGAAGAAAAGAACTTTTAGCTTTCCTTATATATCTATAATAATAATAATAAATAAATCTCAAGAAACAAGTTAGAAATTGATTTAGTTATTACAGAATATAAACATTATCATAACTCTAATCACACACACATTGACATATATATTTTTTGTGGTGCTAGATATGGAACCCAGGCTTTGTTCCTCCAACCTTATTAAAAGATGCTTTTCATTATATTTAATTTATATTGGAAGAGAATGTTACTATTTAAGAGAAAAAACTTTGACAAACATTTTTTTTATTGAACAGTTTTATTCTGTTTTAGAATAAAAACCTTGCTTTAATATTGTAAGGTGCACTGCAGGTACGCCATGCTGCCAGTTACTTTTGGGACAACAAATGTCCCAGTCAATGACCCAGAGAGCTGGGAAAAACGAGTGAACTCATACTTTCAGAGTGTGTAGAACTGGTATTTACAAGTTTTTCTTCTTGAAATTGGCCTGGGACTTCTCAGTCTACACAGGTATTGCCACAGCACTTGCTTTGATGCTCGAATGCCTCAGAAATATGTTATTATCATGATTTGTGGGTCCTCCAAAAGGTTTAGTTGTTAACATGCAAGCAAATAGTACTAAACAATATTATCTAAACTATGGCTGCCAAGTACTGGATCTTAATAATGAAATCAAATTACAAAACATTTCCTTGTAGAGCTATACAAAAGATATAAAATTAAAATAAAAATATCAACCATCTTTAAATATTCCAATTCTCCTACAGTGCAGTTTTCCACATCTTTATCACTACTGAATGTTTTAAGGAGAAAGTTAACAAAAATCAAAGTAGATAAAAATATTTAAATCTTTGGATCCCTTTATTCCATGGCCTTCATAAAAACACAAAAGTGGCCAGATTTTTTTCCACTATAGCTTAAAATATCAAAAAGATTTATTAGTAATTTATAATTAGCAATGAACTCTATACTGAGTCATCTGTGGGTCACAGGCCCAATGTTAATAATAATGTGTTACAAGTTTTCAAAATAATTTCGAACATTCTGAATCCTCTTGAAATATAATGGAATGAGTCAATGTTATCACAACAAAACTCCAGGCATATCAGGAAAAACAAGTTAACTGATGCCTAGTTTTAAAAGTCTTAAAAAAGGGGATGATCACTTATTTGAAAATACAGCTAAGTACATTCTTATCTATGATTATTTACATTCATATACTGAAAATATTATTTGGAGAAATCCTGTGATATGCCATTTGCTACAAAATGAAGTTCTTACATTGAGCATGAAGAATTTATCCTTTTTAGATAATGGAAGAATGTATCAAATCTTCATTTATGTTCCAAACATTAAAAAATAAATCAAAAATATTGAGCCTGGAAAGACAAGGGAAAAAAAGACCCACCCATAACTCTGTTCCTCAGCACATCAACTTCTGCAAGGACACAGTATGTTTGCTGACTTTAAAATGTTTATTCTTTAAAAAATTAGTTGCTTTTTATACAGCTATACAAAGTTCTTAATGTTTCTTTGGCAATGGAATATAATGGAATTTTACAACTATATAAAAAAGTTACCTTTGCCTAAGAAACAGTATTTACTGTGTGTACATAGTTGACTGACAAAATTCTCTACCATCCAGCACCCTAATTGACGAAATAAGCTACCTCATATTATAGGATTTCCAAAAAGAAAGAGGAAGATAAAGACACACACAC